GCATGGGTTGGACCCCCGACCTCGATGACCCGTCTGCAGACCATCCGTGCTTCAGTCCGCTCCCGCCCAAGCGAACAGTCGGACGTCGTTTCTCCTCCTCTTGTTTTCTCTGAGCCCGTTTCGACCAACGGCTCTGGCCGCTGTCCTGGTCCGGGTACCTTCTGCTGCAGGACATGGCCCTCCCTGCCTTTTCTCACAGCCTCCCTAGCTCCTCCCCCTCCCAATCCTCAGAATGCCCCTTGCTTCTTTCTTTCCCCTTCCACGGGGCCCACTCAGGACCCCTTCGATCGTCCTCTCCTCCTTCTCTTCCAATCCTCAATGTCGTTTCTCTTTCCTCCCGGATTGGAAGACGCGCCCCAATCTTTCCTCCACCAGGCAACCGGTCGATTGACGTTCCTCCTTCCTTGCTTGGCCTACCTGTCTCCTCGATGCTTGTTTCTACAGCGGCTCTGGCAGTTGCCAGTAGCGGTTATCCCTTCAGATCAGGCCTTGTCTACCCTCCCTCTTCTCCTTCGATCCTCCTGGCCCTTTCCTCGCCAGTCCACCTTGACTTGCCTCGGATCCCGCTCCCCATCGGCGTTTTGTCGAAGCGTAAAGCCACCTTCCACTTCTCCCATATGCCAATAGTTGTCCCCAACTTACCTCCGATTCTCAGCTGAGCACCCTGGTGGAGCCAGCGGCTCGAGGATCCCGATGGTGCCTCCTTGTGTTGTCTTGCCCCCTTCCTCGGCTGTTAGCGCTGTCCCAGATCACCATTCTCTCTTTTCACGGTGATCCTCATGAGGAGGCCCCGACCGGTTTGCCACTGGCTCCCGTCTGCCCGACCAGCCCTTTTGTACAACCGACACGCCCCGGCCCCTTCGTATGATTTTGGCGGTCGCCGTATCATAATAGCGTTGCCGTTTCGCATGGCGATGGCCGTGGCATCCCTCCCGATCTTTCGGTACCGTAGCGCAAGCAAATCCCGCCACGTGCACCCGCGGTAGCCCGGCGGTCATTCGCAACCGAGGTCTAGTGCCTTCATTGGTTCTTCGTTTCAGGTCCGACCAAGACCCGTTCCGACGCGCTCTTGTCTCCCTTGCAACCACTGCCTTGTACACAAAAAAAACTCCGATCTTCTGGGATCTGCCCGAGCCCGTTCGCGACCAAGGTTCGTACCATTACTTCAGCCAATCCAAAGGGTTAGAACAAAGATCCGGATGCCCAAAGACACTTACAAACATTACATCCACAAGCATGCAAATGTCAAACCAACACAAAAACAGAAAAGGAAGAGAAAAAATATTCCATATTCCGAAGGACAGGCCCTCGGCTGGTAGGCAGCCGCCCGACAACCAGCCCACACCCCATCTCTCGTCGTCCCTGGCGAGGCTCTTTCATGACCCCTCCCTTTCCAACCATCGTCCCTTGCCTAATGTCTAGTCATGAAATTTTCCTCCGGTTTCACCCCATTTTCTCGGTTAGATTACGTTGTTCTTTTCTTTTAACCAGACTTACCCCCCTTCGTCTTGTCATGACACCTTCCAGGACCCACGGCACATTCCTACCCTATGACACCGGTCTATGGTACAGTATCTACTTGGGATTACGACTCATTGCCCCTCATGGCACCGTTTCTCTAACTATGGTATACTTTGGTACAAATCTTCCTTCGACACATCGCTTTTCCCGGACTACGTCTTTCTAACTATGGTACACCACTCCCCTCCCCCTTTTTATGCCCGTCTCCGTTTCCTCATCCTCTTCTCGCGCCTCTCTCTTTTCCGTTTTCTCTCCTCTCTCTCACGTTTGAGTCTCAGGGCCTTTTTTGACGCATTCCTCCTTTCGTTCAACCTGCGTTTCCTCAATCGGTCTGCATCTTCGTCATCCTCTCTTGGTCGTTTCTTCTTCCTAGGGGTCTTTGGTAGGGCAGTTTTCCAAACCTTGTACCCTTTCTTTGGCGGTCGAGAAGGGGCTCCTTGTTTGGAGGTCTCCCCTTTCTCGTGGGTTACGCTCACCCCTGTGTCAATAGCTTAATTTCCTTTCCGCTTCGGCTCTTCCCCAAGGGTGCCTCTCGATCGGAAGATTTTGAGACGAGCCCCCGCGATAGGGTCCCGTAGCCTATTCCCATCTAATTCCGCGAGCATGTAAGCTCCCCCATCCAATCTCTTTAGGACCCTATACGGCCCCATCCATCGGTTTGCCAATTTCCGGCTCCAGGTCTTTTCTACCGACGAATCGTACATTAGTACCAGGTCGTTAACCCCTTATGGCGTCTTTCGGACCCGCAGATTCTTGTCCCACCTATCCTTTCCTTTCACCCTCTCTTTCCCGACATTCACTCCTGTCTCGGTTAGCCCGACATCCAAGTTTTCGGCTATTTGTTGTATCCGTGCCTCCAACAGTTCGTCCCTAGTCATGTTAGTTCTCCACGAGACACTCGTCCAAGTGTCAACGTGGAACTCGATGGGCAGGGGACAATGCCTACCGAACCAAAGGGTGTAAGGAGGGTACCCCGTACTGGATTTGACCGTGATATTATCGGCCCAAACCGCGTACCGCAAGTACTTCAGCCATTGTTCCGCGCGACCCTTGCACCATTTCGCTAGAGCGTCCACAAGCGTCTGGTGACCCCGTTCTACCGGCGCATTGCTTTGGGGGTGATAAGCAGTCGTATAGGCCGCCCCGATCCCTACTTTTTCCAACAATGTTTTGACCTTTTGGCTCAAGAACTCTGCGTGCCTATCCATGACTATTCTCCCGACACACCCGTACCGTGCGATATATTCAAGGAGAAATTCACTTACCTCCTCTGTCGTCTTCTTCTTAATAGCCTTTGCTTCTACGAACCCGGTGAGGTCATCTCGGGCGTTGATTATATACCGAAGTCCGCCGACCCCCTTTGGCATGGTTACCAAATCTAAGTGGACCTTCTCACCCCGAACCGTGGGAAGCGATGAAACTAAGGGCTCTTTGTATCGAACCGTTGCCCTCTTCTGGCAAGCCTCACACATTGAACAATACTTTTCCACTTCCGTGTATTGCCTGTCCCACCAATAAAGCCTACGGACCTTATCGAACGTACCCTTCACCCCCCTATGCCCTCCAACGACCCCGTCGTGGAGTTCCTCTATGACCGCCCTTCTTTCCTCCGGATCACACAGTACCCTCATGGGTATCGCAAACTTGGTGGGTCTCTTGAAGAGGTGGCCTCCTCGTAGGCAATAGCCCAGCACATCTTGCCGGATTCTTTCGGTCCCTGTACCCCTACCGGCTAAGTATAGTCCTATGTCCCGGTACTTTCCGTCGTAGAGATTAACGAGAAAGGTCCTTGGGGCCCCTTCCTCTTCTCGGCTGCTTGCTGCCACTTGCGCCCTATTAGCGACGATTTTCACCACCCCTTCTTTGGCTATCGTTATCACCTCTCCCTTAAGCCGCGGTAGGTCTTCTTCGCGAATCGGGAGCAGGGACAAACCGTCCGCAACCTGATTTTTGGACCCCGATATCCTCTCGACCCTATAGTCGTAGAGTCTGATATGTATCATCCAGCGGGCTATGGTTGGATCGGTCAGCGAGAAATCTTTTTGAAGGACCGCAGCCACTACTGTCGGGTCCACCCTCAGGAGAAAACGTCGCCCGTACAGGTAATGGCGGAAAACCTTTAGGCAATGCAACACTCCCAACACTTCCTTTTTGAATTGACTATAATTCCACTCGGCGAGGTTCAAGGTCCTGCTCTCAAATCGCAATGGTCTCTCCTTCCCCTCCTCGTCCTTTTGAGACAGGAGGCCCCCAACCGAGTTAGGCCTCGCGTCCGTGAAAACTATAAATGGGCGACTCTCCTCGTCTTCGAAGAACGGGACTCCTAGGACCTGCCCCCCTTTGCGGAACTCTTCTTTTAAGGCTTCCATGGCGGCTGCCTGCTCTTCCCCCCAAGCCCATCCTTCCGTCTTCCTGAGTAACCGCTTGAGAGGTTCCACTTTCTCACCATAACCTTTTATGAAGATTCGCCAGTAGCCCACTACCCCTAGAAACTGCCTGACCTCCGTTACGGACTTGAGTGGCGATGGCCAGGTCATCAGTTTCACCAATTTCTCTGGATCGGGCCTCCGCCCATTTCTGTCGCAGATGAACCCTAGTATCTTAATGGACGATACGCCCCAGCGACTCTTGGTTCCGCTCACCGTGAGGTTAGCATCGTCCAATTTCACAAGGACATCCTTGACATCGCTTGTATGGTCCACTACGAACTTTCTTACCCCGGGAAAGACCTCCGTCTCATCCCGTTCGATCGACCCTTTAATCAGGAAGTCGTCAAGGAAGACTTCCACCTTTTCAGGTATGAACTTCTTGAGGACCGCAATCATGGCCCTCTAGAACACTGCCATGCCGTTCGTCTACCTCATGGGCACTACCATCATTTGGACCAGCCCCAAAGGTGTATGCATGGCGGTCATATGCCTATCCCAATAGTCTAAGGGGATCTTGTCATACCCCGAGAAGAGATCGCAGATTGAGTATATCGAGCGACCCGCCGACCCTTCCGCTAGCAAGTCGGCCTCGAGGATGGACCCTATGTCCCTTATCGTGACCGCGTTGGTCCTTTGGAGGTTCTGAATCCATCTCAGTTTGTTGCTGCCCCCCTTTCTCAGAAAGAACTACTTATTGGAGTAAGCACTCTCACAAGGCTCCGCGACGAAAGTCCTTATCTTTTCCTTAATGAAGGTTACGATCTCTTCTTTCTCTTTTTGAGCATACTTCCACTGGAGCCTGTCCTTCCAAGGCACGTGCGGAATCGTGTGGATCCGGGCCGGCTTAGCGTACCTCGGGTCGATCCGCCCCCTTTCTGAGTCATCGAATGCTATGGCCTTATCGCAGCTCCTCAGGGTCATGGCCACGAACTCCCTCTCCTCTCTTGTGAGGTTGTCATCCCCTATATCCATCTTAGCCAACCGATCGGCCGTAATTCTTTACCCTTCAGTCTCTTTTTTTTCCCGGATGATATCGACAATCTCTTCCTCCGATATCGTAGCCTCCCCCGTTCTATCCCGGTTGATCGCGGCAGATTTTACCTTTTCCGCCACAGTTTTGTGCTTCTTAATGTTGCAGGCTAGGGGGATTCCTCCAAAAAAGACAACCTCACACATCCACCGAATTGCTCCTCCTCGTCTTCCTTCTCGTACCCCACACCGTTAATCACAATCCTATCCCCTACATCTTCGACCTCCAATTGGTCTCCCTTGGTTCCCTTATCCGTGAAGGCCACCTCCTCCAGACGGACTCGGCACACCCTCGACTGGCTCTCCTTGCGTCTAGCAATGTTGGTCCGGTTACGCTCATCTTGCGCGTCCACTGTCCTTAGGACTACTCGGATTCCATCCGGACTTTGGATCGAGAGGGTCTGACTTCCATCCCGCAAATCAACCGTGGTAGCGTGAACTGCGCTCAGCCAGGTCCTTCCGAGATTCAACTCGGAGGAGCGCTCCTTTACCGAAAAGATTGGGACTTTTGTCTCTACGCCAGCGACCTCTATCACGGGGCTATGACACACCCCTTCTGCCGGTTGTAGCTTGTTATCGGCCACTACCATTGACATTGATACCCCTCGATCTATCTCCAAGCCCAGCTCCCACGTGATGGACTCCCTACAAACCGTAGACTCGGACCCATTCTCTACTAGAGCCCTCATCTCCTTCCCACTTACCACTGCCTGGAGTTGGCCGCTACCTAACACATAGAACTTCTTGGCCTCTTCACCCGAGAAGAAGTTGGCAGGCAGTTCCTCCATGGTCATGCGGGAGGCCTGTACTTCTTCCTTGGCCGGACCTTCTACCAGCACCGTGGGCCCCCCGACGAGCGGGACTCTTACCTTCCTCGTGATGCTTAGGAGCTCCTCCTTGACGCTTTTGCCGGCCGCTAGATATTCCAAAAGTGTGCACTGCATAGGTTGCATCAAGGTTCTCCTAAGGGGGGCTACCGCGTCTATCTCATCCAGAGTGAATTTCATTTCGAACTTTTTGGGACCCCTCTTCTTAGGCAATTTGGGTGAGGTGGGTTCTTCCTTCTTTTCCTCCACAGCTTTGTCATCGACCATTGGTTGGTCGTTGTCGCCGCTCCTTACTCCCACATCCTCCGTCACGCTCTCTTGGCTCTTGGACGTCTCGGCCCCAACCTGTGTTCTCACCCTTAGGCAAGGTCTCTCTTCTTCAGGCTGGGTCTCTATGAACTTGATGCTGGACACCTGCAGTTCCCTAATGGATACCCCCCCAGGTGACTCCGTTATGTGGATATGGGACGTGTTGGAGGTGCCCCCTATTTTAGGTTTCTTCCCCAACCTTGCTTCCTAGAGGGCGATTCTCTTGTCCACATTCACATTCATCGAGGGGTAGAACGAGACCGCCTCTCCATTATCTCCCCACACAACCCACTTGTTTTCATTTAACTTCACCGCACCCAACCTTAAGGCCTCCGTAAGATAAGGACAATCCCTTTTGATGTGGTTTTCTTCATTATAATAAACACACCCGCTTCGAGTTTGCGGGTTGCTGGGATGCGGACCCCCTTGTGTTGCAGCAGCTACAGGCGCAGGAGGGGCCGGCGGTGGCGGTGGTGGAGCCCTAATCTCAGGTCGTGGCCCAAAAACCCTTGCTTGGGGGGCGTCTCCCCACCTTCCGTCCCTAGCGTCCTTCCAATGGGAATTTCCCCAATCGGGGCCACGGTTTCCCCCTACTTCTCGGTCATTCCTCCAACCTCCCTGGCTTCCCGACTCGTTTCTCCATCCCGCAAGCCAATCTCCCCACCGGGGACCGGGCGGACCAGGCGGACCAGGCGGACCCGGGGGTGGCCTATCATTCCGCCTTAGGCCGTCATTCCTCGTGCCACGCATATTGCGGAGTGCCATATCTAGGGTCTCTTTCATGTACTCTCTCACATCCACCCCTCCCCCTGTAAAAACCACGTCTGCGACCTTCTCAAAGTTGGCTGAATCCCGCGAGGCCTTTTCAAAGACCTCTTTCCTCTTCTCCTCGGGTAGGTGCAACATAAACATTACGCACCTATCCACCTCTGACAGCATCCCCCTATCCACTAGGGTTTGGCACAGCCGCTTGAACCTATGGGTGAAGGCCACCAAGCTCTCTCGTTCCCCCCTTGTAACACGCTGCAAACCTTCCACGGTAGGGATCAAATCATCACATGCAAAAGTCTGCAACAGGCTGGTCTTGAAGGTTCTCCACCGCCCATCCGCGGGGTAGATAGCCCTAATCGCAGGATCTAACTCCGGGTCAGAGTGTTGGATGAAATGGTCTATCCATTCCTTTTCGGAAAATCTCTTTCGGTAAGCATAGCTTTCTCATTTCTCCACGAATCCCGTCACATCTCGCCCGTCGAAGAAGAGCGCCTCCAGTCCCAAGTTGACGTCGTAGTAGGGGACTCGTCGGTCGTCGTATCGGCGGAAATAGCATCCTTCCATCGGCCCATCGATTGCCGGGTCGTACGGCTTGTACCACGAGGGATCCGACTCCTCTATCCGTGGTCGGGGTCTTGGCGGTCCCCAGGGGTCTTCCCCGTAGCGGCTCCTCTCATTCGGCCACTCCGTCTCCCACCAAGCGTGGTCGTGCCCCCTAAAGCCTCTCCAGGCGTCCACCCCCTGACTCCTCCCCATTACCTCGCCGGGAGCCCATGTAGCATCCGATTCCCTCTCAGCCTATCTCCGTGGCCTACTGCCAGTCTCCGCCACCCTCTCGTTTCTAAGGTCCCTTCTATTTGGTCCCCCTTCCTCTTCCCTCCCGTGTGGCCTGTATCCTACGCTATCCCTCTGAAACTCCAGTTCTTCCCCCGTTCTTGAGTCCGGTAGATCAGCCCATCGAGACTCTACAGGAAGCCCCCTCGAGGCCTCGACCGCCCCTTCTCTCATTGGCATGCGCATCTCCGCGCTAACTCTTTGTTCTGCCAAAACTTGTCTCTCCCCGGGAAAGATCTCCAGGTTCCTTTCGACCCATCTTCGTGGCCTGCCACCGGCCTCCGCCGACCTCCCTTCTCTTAAGTCCCCCCTATCCGGACCTTCTTCTTCATCTCTCCTAGGCGGTCGACACCCAGGCTTGCCTCTAGGAAATTCGTGAGCCTCCCCTATCCTGGCTTCTGCGTCCACCAGGTCCGCCCACCGGGAGTCTACTGGAATGCCCCTCGAGGCTTCGGTGATCCCTTCTCTTACCGGCGCCCGCAGCCCCACATCCCTGTGCACCCGTACTTCCGTGCTAGGTCTCGGTCCTTCCGGGGCCTGTCTTTCTCCTAGAGCCGTTTCCGGGCCCCTTTTGACCCTATCTATCGATTATGTCCCCTCTGTCATTTCTTCCGCCACCCTGCTCAGCCTAGCCCCCAACTCGGGGCTCTTTACCACCTCCCTCCTTTCAGCGATTTCCGGTGGACGAGAGAGACTAGCCTCCACTTCACTCTCCATGCACCCTATTGGTAATCTCTAGTCACCCCCTTCACTATCGTCTGTGTTATCTTCCGAATCGTCTCCCTCACTATCGTCTGGGCTATCTTCCTAGTCTTCTTCTTCTCTTGAGCCCTCCTTCTCTTCACTCGATTCCTCGTTAGCACCCTCTCCCTCCGACTCCTCGCTGGTCACAGTCCACCAAGAGTCCCGCAATCTCTTATCCTCGCTAGCGGCCAATGCAAGATTGGCGATCTCCAGGTCCGAGATGCCCCTAATCCCTTCTTGCGCACATATCCTAATCAAGTCTCGGTCCATCTCTCCAGCTTGTCCGGAGAACAGGGGCTTGATGAACTCTCCAACGCGCGCCCACCATTCGAAGTCGGTGTCCTCTCTCGATTCCCAGCACTGGGTGAATAATTTGTGTCCCCCTTCTTCACCTAATGGAAATTTCTCTATCACCTGTCCCCTAAATCGGACCTTCCTTACGGTCGCGTCGTCATCATAGAGTAGCCGATAGGCCCAGGTCGAGATCTCCCAAGTCCTTCCGTGAGACGCCCTAGAAACTTCCGACCTCCCTCGGTATTCTACCCTATCAATAAGGCTTCCCCTGCCAGTGCTTCCCCTCAACCTCCCCAACCGGTCCAGGGCCTTCCGGGCGATGCCTAGGGGGTCCTTTCCCTCTGCCAATTCAGTTGCAAAGATTAGCCGGTCGTCGGGGGACAAAAAAATCTCTGCCTTCCTAGTGCAGTAGCCTCCCTCGGACGCCACGGAGAACCTGACTATTGTCTCTTGCCCGTAGATTTCGAAGAACTCAGTAGTTACCACTCCTTCCCCTTTAAACCTAGGGAGGGTGACTCCATACCTCTCTTCCGTTTTCCAACCCCTATCCAAGGTACCATAAGGGTCCCGCCGGTCGTATCTAATCATAGAGCCTTCACCTCACGCCGGCCAACCTCGCGGCGGCCTTTACTAGCGAGTCCTCGCACCTGGCGTGACCGGCCTCTTCGTCCTCTTGCAGAGTTTGGCGCAAAGCCTCTTCGTACTCCCCCGTCCTATCCCAAAATCGGGTCTCCACAAGGTGTGCCCTAGATGTCAGTGGTGTTCCTAGATACCTAGAGTCTTCTTCGAACCTTCTCTCGACCTCTAGCAAAGGTTCCCTCCAAGCTCTTGAGGACCTCACTTCACTCGCATCTCTAATGTGGACCGAAAAGCTAGCTAGCGTGGTCCAGCTCCTTCTCTTCCACAAGGCCAGCCGGCGGATTTCCACTAGAAATTCCGTCTCAGCGCGGACCACTCGGTCCTCTCCCAATTCCGGGTTAAGCTCCGCACTTCCCTCGACCCTAACTTCGCTCCAATTCCCAACGAATCCTATTCGAGACGAACGAAGCTCTCATCCCCCCACCGCGTGAGAAGATCTATTGTTACCTCGTCGAGGATAGCAATTGCCGCTGTCTCAAGTAGCTTGATCCTAGCTAAGGACCCAGGCCTAGCCCTCCTTTCTTCCTCCCAGCACAGTGCGAGGATCCGGTGAACTTCTTCTCTTACTTTCTCCAACCCCACAAGCTCTTCAAGGTCAGGCTCGCTCATCTCTAACTTTCGTCGATGACACGCAATTGCTATCCGAATTAAATCTGAGGGGTTCACTCCCTCTAACTCGCCTTCGCAGATCTTTCCCAAGTATCTCCACTATATCTTAGATTCCCTAGCGTGTCGACCCCACACTTCGAAGGCATAACCCAGGTCCTCTAGAGTCGACCAATCGTCTCTATAGGCATCCCGAAAACACCAAGTTAACAAGGTATGGAGGTCCGATCCCGTGAACCGAAACTGGCTCAGAATGGAAATCCTTCTTCCTACCGCCTTCTTAACAGCCTCAGAGGGGTAGATCCGCTCAAAAATGAAACGGGGGACTTCCACCAGCTCACTGGAGGCAAACTGCGATACCTCTTCCCAACCCCCGTAGGTCACTTGATATTCCTCGTCGCACCCTTCGAGAGGTCTTAACTCCTCTACTAACTCTTCTAGTCGGCTTCTCACGGCTTGCGCGTCCCAGAGAGGGTCCTGCCCAATCCACAAGTTGCGTGCTATCTCTACAAGGCCTTCCTTTCAAAGGAATATTCGGGCTTCCCCAACTACGACCCTCCCCTCGCGACTCACCGCAAATCGTACGAAAGCCTTACCGCGCCGGATTTCCCCTTCTTCTCGCAGGAGGGTCCTCGTTGGCTCCGTCAATCTGGCTCTAGGTAGAGTGACACTGAGAACCTCCCCGGTATCCTCTAAGGGTTCTATTGACGCCCAGAGAGTTCTCGGGATCCCCCTTATCATCGGCCCTCGAACCCCCGCCGGTTAGTCACCTGCTCTTCTCCGAAGAGGCGGCCGTACGAAACGTCCGCGACGAGCGATCGGAGTCCCTCAAACTCTCTCAACCTCCCAAATATGGCGGACAACTCACTTCTTGGGGGAACCCCCGCATCCACGCACCGAGTATAAAGCCAGAACAAACCTCTAGCCCGCACCCTGGATTCTCGAACCGCTCTAAGCACTGCTACTACTCTCTCCTCCGGGTCTCTTAAGAACGAATTGGCCAGGAACTGGGTTAGGTTAGTGTGGAGAACCCCAGACGCGCGAGGGACCTCTCCAGGCTCGGCGAAGGACACCAGAGTCCACGATTCGAAAGTCCCTTCCTCGTAATCAGTCAGCACTAGGTTATTAGCTACGAGCCTCACGGATTCTCGGTACTCAAAATGCGCCAGTCGCCTGGTTACCAAGCCCCTCCAAACTTCGGTCCACACCTCTTCGTTGAGGAAGATTGTAGCCCGGATCTCTAGAAAACGACCGAGGTCAGGCGGGCCTCCTCTTTCCACACCTTCCTTCCAGGTGAGTCTTTGAGCTTGAACCCACACGTAGGCCCCTTCTCTGATTACACCCCCTTTCTCAACGCTCATCCAGTAGGGGGTCACTCGAGGATCCCCCAGAATCAAGACTTTACCCGCGTCACTAGCCTCTATCGATTCTACCGCTCCGTTCTTGTTGAGCACGAATCTCACCATCTATCGGCGCTGTTTTGAACACCCACTGGTGGTATCTCTCCGGAGAGAGAGTAAAGGGTTTCTCTATAGACCCCAATCTCCAAAAAATACCCCAGAGCTTCCTGCGTGGAGGGATACCCTGGTCGATGCAATGCGTATACAGCGTCCACAGGGCCCCGAAGGGTAATCCCAGACTCCTTCCCCTCTCTAGAAACTTTACTATCTTCCCTTCGTCAGTCCCTTGAAACAGGAAAGACGACACCCTCACCGTTAACAGATAGCACGCCCTAGGAAGCTCTTTCTTTCCTGCGAACCTCTCCTTCTCTATAGCCGTAAACGCAAATCGCTTCCGAACCCTACTTATTCATTCCTCTTTTATTTCCCTCGCCTCTCGTAACAACCAATCCAGCCCACCCCCTTGTCCCAGGACCAGGGGCACTACGACCTTTGCCCAAGCCTCGGGGGCTACGAAGATAACTGCGGTCACCTTGAGACATCTCTCACCCCCTCGGCCCTCAACTTTTTTTGACTCTATCCACACGAACTCCCCGCTCACGGCGGCCTTACCTCCTTTTATCCTTTCCCAATCGGGAACCTCCTTGTTGCTAGGGATCAATCTAAGGGTCCCACTGCCTTCCAAGGAGGACTTGACAAAGCGTCCCTGTTTCCCGTCGTGAAACACCATTCATTTAAAACATTCTCTGAGGTACCCCAAAGACCTTTTGGTAGCCGTAATCTCGCCCGCCCTCGCGGTCCCGAGCCGATTCCCTAAAGATCCGCGCGCGAATCCTACAGGCTTTGATCCCGTAAGGTACAGGGTTATCCACGCAGTAGGTATAGTACCAATGGAGCGACCTAACGGAGAGCTGTCACCCCCTCTCTCGTACTATGGACCGCACAACCCTCTCGTACCGCTCACCCTTCGAAAAACGAACGACGGGAATATGGCCCTGATGCACCCCGTGGCGCGAGGGTACTCCACGTCTCGCGCGCAGGTCACCCTTACCTCAATTGGTGGACAATGTCTAAGGGGCTCCGCCTCAAAAACGTGTCTCAAAATCGGACCCGCTCATGCCTCCCAATGATCCGCACGGTACCAACCTAGGACCAAGTGAGTGACGTAATCGACCCAGGCCTCCTTACTCAAATAGACAGTCCCCTCCGCACGGACCACCGTTCGTCTGGGTCTCTTCCCACTCTGGGGCCTGTTCCGGGACCACCTGTCCTCTTCCCAAGTTCCTACCGCGAAACGAGCCCAAAGGAAAACCCCTTGTTCTAGCTCTAACCCACTCTCGCGGCCGGCTAGATACCTCTCGGTGCGGTGGTATAAAGGGACGCTAAAGCACTCTGTCTTTGCTTAAATCTGCTTTCTCTATTCGAACCTCTTCTTCTTCAGTACCCTCTACGATTCTAACCATCCCCCTGGACTATCTCCTCTATGATTTGAACTAGCGCTCTCCACCCGTCCAATCCATCCAGGAAGGCTTTCGGAATAGTAGGAACAGGCCTAACCCCTCGTGAATGCGTCCTACACCCCAACGAGTAGAAGTAGTTAATCTCGTAGGCCCCCAGTAGTTGCCTCTCGAGCTGTGCGTGACCGACCACTTCCTCCCAGCTATCAAGATATCCTACCTCTCTATCTACACCCTCCTCTGCGTACAGGGCTATGTAGAAATGGTCGGTCCACCTGTAGAAACTATAGCACCACACGTCCACCCCGCCTCGATCACCTACACTAATTCCTGCAGGTTCAAAATCCAAAGGCCTCAAGCTCATGGATTCGCCGCTCTCACCACTCTCTCTACGATCCCCACTAACACTTTCCATTCATCCGACCCATCGAGATAAGCGTCCGGAATTACCGGCGCCGGACGACCACCTCTGGGGTAGGTTCGGTATCCTAGAGAGTAAAAATACTTGTACCTGTAACCCCTCAATTCCTCCCTCGAATTGCGAGAGTGGCCTATCACCTCTTCCCACCCACGAAGGAAATCCTCTCTTTGAGTTAGTCCCTCCTCTACATAGACAACCACATCAAAGTCACCCGTCCATAGTCGAAAAAAGTAACACCACACATCAACACTTCCGTACGTACACACGCTAATCCATTCCGAAACGGCTTCTAAGCTCATGCAATATAATCAAAAGAAAATTCCCTAAGTCCCTATTTCCTTTTGGCCACTCGAGAGACCACCTCTAGCCCGCAAGGAGAAGAAGCCTGTGAGCTCAGAAGGATCAAATGGACCAGAGAAGGAACGCCGTCTCACTCGGCTACCTTCCTGTCCTCCCCCGCTGAGAGACTCCTCCCCACTCCTGGCCTAGAGACTAGCCGCGGACACAGGTTATCCCCGAGGAAGGGTGGCAACCCCGTCCCTGGAGTCGGACCGAAGTCACACACCCGGGTCCTATGTCCCCCACTGAACCGACCTTTAGTCCTAAGTTAGCCTATCCGGTACCACGCCTCTACTCGGCCCACATCAAGCGTGAAATTACCCGGGTCCCAGGACAAGATCCACCTGTTTATCAGAAATCACTAGCCTATCTTATCCCTTCCCATTCTCCTCACCGTTAACTCTTCGCACTTCGTTCCCTTCTTCCTTTTCCGCCTCCCGCTGCCTCTTTTCTTTATTGGAATCACTGGAATTTCAAATCGGGAAGTCAGGAAAAGTGGGGTGGGAAAAGCGGAGCCTTAGGAGGAGTCTCTCAGGTTGAGTTGACAAGCATGCGTACCTTGTGTCTTCAATATTCGTTATCATAATCCCAATAGTCCCCCAGGTTCGAGTCCGAGAAATCGGCTAGACACCGGTCCACCCAGGATTCGGCCTCCGATCCCTCGTCCAAGGGCCCCCAAGTACCCCCTTCTTCTCTAGCCCCCTCGCTAGCAAAGGTAGGTGTGTCTCTCTCTCCCCCTCGCCCCGGAACCCGTAACACCACTCTCCTCTCCCCCAAGTTCCGATCCGGTCCCATTTGAGAGTCCCGCCCCCTTGCGGGAGTTGGTCCCGTCGTCATCCCTTGCGGGTCGAGAACCGAAGCCCCTAACCCCTCTTTAGACACCCTCTCTCGTGCGGGACTTTGCCCCCGGGTAAGTGCCCTCCACAACCCGTGTGGATCAAGAATATTTGGCGACCCCATTGGGTCCCAAATAGACAGCGCCCCCGGACCCTCTCGGACCCCTCTCTCCTCTCTCCCCCTCGCCCCCTCTCTCTCTTCCCCTCAAGCAGACCCCTTTACACTATTTTCCCGGACTGTTCTTCTTCCTGCCCTTTCGTTGTTCTTCACCCTCATTCAGCCCCCTCAAGCAAACTGTGCACCCCCCTTAATTTTTAAATTCTTAGAAATAAACACTCCCGAAAACCAAGCACACAAAAAAAAACTGACCTGTTTTACCCTTCGAAGGTCGGAAGCGAGAGCCGAGATCGCAAGCAGGCCGGAGCGGACCTGCAAAAAGCCAAGGAGAGAAGCCCAACACCCCAAGTCCCCCGCACCCAAAAAGCCCAACGACAAGCCCCCAATAAAACCCTTACCGATGCCGCCTGAGAAAGAACCGTGATCACCGTGTAGAAAAGCAGAACCTGGTGAAGAAATCAGATATGCCGATGACGACCGACTTGAAGCCGCGTGCTGAAGGACTCGATGCTGAAACATTGCAGAATACCCCAAACTCTCCCCACCGCTGCCTGTCACGCCGGTCCTCCCCTTGTACCGAATCCTTTGAGCCGGCCGCGGCCGCGGGAGGAACGTTCATCCCCGGCAACAACGCCACTTTGTCGGGCCTGCCCCTCTTTTAGTTCCTCTTGCTGAGGTAGCACCGACGGGCATGGTCTCGGGTTCCCCTTCGTTCCTTACACCTGCCCGGATAGCACTCTCCACTTCCGGTCCGGGCGGCGTTCGGTCTCCCCTTTTCCGTCTCCAGAGGGCTCCCTCCGATGGTCACCGCGAAGCTAGGTCGCGAGCAAGGGAGGTAAGCTCTCGCCCAACGCCTGCAGAGAAGCCCGTTAGGAACCCGTTCATAGTCAAGTGAAAAGGGAAGTGAGTAAACTGCGAGCTCGTCGTGAAGCTCGAGACCCAGATGTACCAAAAGGAGACTTCGCGGAGCTGCCAGCGAGCCTAAGGACTAGAATCTGCAAGGTCGGAGAGGCCTGGCTAGCGACGTCCTCGAGAAGAGATCGGAAAACCGCTCAGCAGAAGTAAATAACACGTGTATTCGTTAGAAGAGCTCGTGATTAATGAAAGGAGAGCACCCAGAGAGCCTGTGAGAAGGGCTCATAATCAACATGCACAGCTAAGAAGCTCAGCGAAGAGGGCAACCTGCGACTTAGACTCGTAACCCCCRRAAGGAGAGACAACAKCGAGGTCGCGAAAGCAGCGAGCTCCGACCARAAACTCRGCGAGGCGAGTACGTGRAGCCTKTRGCTTCGCTAGAGGAACTCRTAGCGGATGGTAAGAGAGCGACCAGCGAGCTCGGCGAAGCGAGTACGTTAAGCCTGAAGCTTCGCTGGAGGAACTCGTAACCAGTGATAGGCGAGTAAACAGCGAGGTCGTGAAAGAAAGCGAGCCCARCGAGTGCGWGAAGCCTGTGGTTTCGCTAGAGGGACTAGTAACCCATGGAAGGTGTGTGACCAGCGAGCTTGTGAGAAGGACTCGTAATTCATCAAGCTCGACAAAGTGAGTAATCCGTGTCTTTGTTAGAAAATCCCGTAACCGAGGAAAGGAGAGTGACCAGCGAGCCTGTGAGAAGCTCGTCACCTGCAAGTTCTAAGGAAAACTTGAGTGGATAATAAGCATCTTCGCTGGGAGAGCTCGTGACTAATGAAAACCGAGTGACCGGCGGGCTTTGTGAGAAGAGCTCGTAACCTGCAAGTTCAAAAAAAAAAACAAAAAAAAACAGCTCAACAAAATACGTGTCTTCTCTAAGAGAGATTGTACCCAATGAAAGCGAGGAGGACTCTAAATTCATCAAGCTCGACAAAAATCCGTGTCTTTGTTAGAAAAGCCCGTTACCCAGAAAAGGAGAGTAACCAGCGAGCCTGTGAGAAGCTCGTCATCTGCAAGTTCCCAGAAAAGCTTAACAAAAGTGGATAATAAGCTTCTTCGCTGGGAGAGTTTGTGACTAATGAAAGTCGAGTGACCGGCGGGCTTGTGAGAAGAGCTCGTAACCTGCAAGTTCAAAAAAAACAGCTCAACAAAATACGTATCTTCTCTMAGASARMTTGTACCCAGTGAAATAACCAGCGAGCTTGTGGGGAGCTCGTAACAAAGAAAGCTCAACAAAATCGGATAATAAGCATCTTTGCCAGGAGAGCTCGTAACTGATGAAAGCCGAGTGCCCRGCGGGCTTGTGAGAAGTGYCGGTAACCAACRAGCTCTGAGAAGGARATCAGCAGAGAGAATAATCTGCAACTTCCCTGGAGGAACTCGTAACCARAGAAAAGAGGAGTGAACTCTTTAGAAKAGCTTCCAACCTGCGAGCTCCGAGAAGAAGCCCGTCTAGAGGAGCCCGTAACYGGTGAAGGGAGAGTAACWAGCGAGCTCGTTAGAGGATCCCGTAATCAGCGAGYGCTGAGAAGAACCTTCGCGAGGYKAGTAACCTGTGACTTCTCYAAAGSAACATGCAACTAGCRGCTGGAGAGTGACCATCGAGCTSGGTAGAGGAACCGGTAGACGAAAGCTCAGAGAAGCCTCWACAAAGGAGAAAGACGCATACTCAGCGAGAGACTTCTYGTCGAASAGCTCCTTAAACCCAAGAAYGAGGTATGCARGGCGGAGYGAGCAGCGTGTTGCMCCCTTCGACACCGCGGGAGGCTTGCCGACGGCGGGCGTGTAGCCGGGTCATGTAGGAATCAGCCGAAACCCGAGGCCGTGGGGCGGAAGGCACGTAAGGACCCACTCGTCGCCCGATGCGTCGACGTGAGAGTGTCGTAGCGAACTCGGTCTGCTAGCAGTGGCTGCCTGATGTCGCGAAAGCAGCCCGGAGAGGAGCACTAAAGGAAGACCATGATCTGAGAGTGACTGCCTCAGCTCCCTCCCCTCCCCTTTTTCACCCTCCTTCTTACCCTTCCCTCTACCTCGTTCTTCTCTTCCTACCACCTTCTCTCTCCTCCTCGATCTTGTCCTGTTGCAACGTCTTTTGGCGCCTCTTAGAGCTCTCTCTCCTTTCGTGCGCTCGTACTCCTGCCTCCCCCGCACGAGCTCACCGAAGGTCGAGTGCAGATAGCGCGTAGACGGGCGCCAGCCCCAGCGCGCAGACGCCCGTCAGTCCTAATGTGCGGACGCGACCCCACTCTAAGGTGCATGCGTGCGTTTTGAGTCCTATCCCACGCAAACCGCTCCCGAGGCGCGCCAAGTCTCCTCGAACGCAAAAAAAGTCTACTCCGTGCGTGCGAACAAACACCCCGTGCGCGCGTCCCTTTTCTCCCCCCGCACTTCCTTATGTACTCCTTTCCCTTCCCTGCAACGATTCTCCCTTCCTTCCTCCCCTCCAATCCAAGTCCTCTCCCTCTTCCTTACTTCCACTGCTCCCTTCCCCTTGCTCTTGCGCTAGCTGTTTGGCCAAACTTTCGACTTCCAAAACATGTTTCGTCAAATCTCCCGCTCCTTTTCCGAAGGCACTTCCCCGTTACTCAAGATCGCCGCCCCCCTCACTAGCGATCCATCGCAGTTCTTTCTACTTCCAATGGGACTCGCGCCCACCGCTTAGCCAAATTTTCGACTTGCCAACATGTTTCGTCAAATCTCCCGCTTCTTTTCCGAAGCCACTTCCCCGTTTCTCAAGATCGCAGCCCCCCTCCCTAGCGATCCATCGCAGTTCCTGTCTCTTATACACATCTAGATGTGTATAAGAGACAGCTTCCCTAGCGATCCATAGCAGTTCTTTCTACTTCCAATGGGACTCGCGCCCACCGCTTACCCAAATTTTTGACTTGCCAACATGTTTCGTCAAATATCCCGCTTCTTTTCCGAAGCCACTTCCCAGTTTCTCAAGATCGCAGCCCCCCTCCCTAGCGATCCATCGCAGTTCTCTCAACTTCCAATAGGATTCGCGCTTTCTCTTGTCGTTGGATCCCTCTCATAGCATTCGCCCCTCTTCTTGAAGTCAGATCGATCACTAGCATGGGCCGGACCCGCGACCTCGATGACCCGTCTGCAGACCATCCGTGCTTCTGTCCGCTCCCGCCCAAGCGAACAGTCGGACGTCGTTTCTCCTCCTCTTGTTTTCTCTGAGCCCGTTTCGACCAATGGCTCTGGCCGCTCTCCTGGTCTGGGTACCTTCTGCTGCAGGACATGGCCCTCCTTGCCTTTTCTCACAGCCTCCCTAGCTCCTCCCCCTCCCAATCCTCAGAACGCCCCTTGCTTCTTTCTTTCCCCTTCCACGGGGCCCGCTCAGGACCCCTTCGATCCTCCTCTCCTCCTTCTTTTCCAATCCCCAATGCCGTTTCCCTTTCCTCCCGGATTGGAAGATGCGCCCCACTCTTTCCTCCACCAGGCAACCGGTCGGTTGACGTTCCTCCTTCCTTGCTTGGCCTGCCTCGGATCCCGCTCCCCATCGGCGTTTTGTCGAAGCGTAAAGCCACCTTCCACTTCTCCCATATGCCAATAGTGGTCCCCAACTTACCTCCGATTCTCAGCTGAGCACCCTGGTGGAGCCAGCGGCTCGAGGGTCCCGCCGGTGCCTCCTTATGTCGTCTTGCCCCCTTCCTCGGCTGTTAGCGCTGTCCCAGATCACCATTCTCTCTTTTCACAGCGATCCTCATGAGGAGGCCCCGACCCGTTTGCCGCTGGCTCCCGTCTGCCCGACCGGCCTTTTCATACAGCCGACACGCCCCGGCCCCTTCGTATGATTTGGGCGGTCGCCGTATCAGAATAGCGTTGCCGTTTCGCATGGCGATGGCCGTGGCATCCCTCCCGATCTTTCGGTACCGTAGCGCAAGCAAATCCCGCCACGTGCACCCGAGGTAGGCCGGCGGTCATTCGCAACCGAGGTCTAGTGCCTTCACTGGTTCTTCGTTTCAAGTCCGACCAAGGCCCGTTCTGACGCGCTCTTGTCTCCCTTGCAACTGCTGCCTTGTACACAAAAAAAAACTCCGATCTTCTGGGATCCGCCCGAGCCCGTTCGCGACCAAGGTTCGTACCGTCACTTCAGCCAATCCAAAGGGTTAGAACAAAGATCCGGATGCCCAAAGACACTTACAATCATCACATCCACAAGCATGCAAACGTCAAACCAACACAAAAAACAGAAAAGGAAAAGAAAAAATATTCCATATTCCAAAGGACAGGCCCTCGGCTGGTAGGCAGCTGCCCAACAGCGGGTTGCTGTGTGCTGTGATTGCATTGTGGCATGTGTTCTGTGCCAGGTGTGCTGTGTTGTGGAGGGGTGCGTGATAGTGGGGTGTTTGCACTGGGAAGTTATTGTGTCAGGTGTTGAGGTGGGGGCAGCCGTGGGGGCCATGGAACCAGTTGTGGATGTGGGAGTCGGATTTGCAGGTGTGTGGGAGACAGTGATTGCGGTGCGGGAGATGTCAGCGGTGTGTGTGTTGCAGGGGAGATGTCAGCAGTGTGTGTGTTGCAGGGGAGCATGGGACGGGGGTGCCTAGTCGCATTTGGCGGCATCTTTGCAGCGAATTGTCTTCGTAGTCGGCGGTACCGTTCCTCCTGGCAGCGTTTGGTGTCAGGATACCTTCCGCATTGGGGAGTAGAGATGCAATGAACTTGCGTACGAACGGCACGTCCTTGAAGTCTTCGTATTGGAGGATCTCCTCAGCAGCAATTGTCTTATTCTGCGTGATGAGGTGCACAATCTTGATCATGTAGTCTCTCATGAAGAGGAACGTGATCTGAGCAAGGATCGACTTTCTCCATGAAGTGCGCAGCAAGGCCTGAAACTCGAGCATCTGGATCTTGTCTGAGGGTGCATGCGGATCCAGCTTGTCAAGGTTGCCGATGACGTACCAGAGCATGTGATCCAGCCATGTGAAGTTTACCTCACATCCGATGCACGCACATTTGAGAAAGGGTCTCCCAGTGTTCCACAATTTCTTGAGCTCCAGTAAATCTGATGGGAACCTGGGGATTCCTTTCTGGTGCAGTAGTGGCTTCTTCGGGCATTTGCCTTTCTCCAGCTTGGAAATCGGTGGGAAGTCTGCGTCCAATCCAACTTTTCCGGCAGGGAAGTGGATCGTGGCATTCCTGGCCGCGGTTCGGCAGTTTGCTATATCCGCACTGCTCAGGCCAGCCAGTGCCATGTAGGCATCGACACTGATTGGTGCGGTATAGTTAAACGTGGCCAACTTCCATAGTCGGTTATGTACACGTTGCACAACCTTTTTCGTCCACGTGTTTGAGGCAAGTGGTAGGAAGGGGCTGTTTTTGCCGAACTTGTGGCTAGTGTCTCGAGGCGTCGTGGAAACGTCGAGATGGGCGCAGTCTCTTCTCATTGCTTCCTTCCTTTTGAAGTATTCTAGTTCAGCTTGCGTGAGCGAGATGTTGTTGATGTAGGTCTCTGTGAAGGTTTTTGTGTTCTCTCTTGTAGAGATTTGTCCCGTGCTGTCCAGATGCGAGGAGTCATAACCGTGGATGCCGATGATGATCTTCTCAGTTTTGGCAACGATGAGGTCCAATTCTCTGTTCTCGATGGCCGCCCTCTTGCAGGCCTTTGTGATGTTGGAGGCGAGTTCTTTGATCTTGTTGTCGAGTTCGAGGGGTCTGGTCTACAATACGGCCACCATGGTGGCCCAGTCGCTAAAAGAGAGGTTCTCTATTAGGAATGGGTCCTGCCCATTAGTGGTCTGATGCACGCGCAGTAGAACCTCTGCAGGAATAGCCAACATGGCTATCTGACAGTGCACGATGGGTGGCTTGAGGGTAGAGAATGGTCTGATGGCAACGACCAGTTCTGGATGCCAGCCCATTTGGATATTGTCTTGATCCTGCACAATATTGCATGTGCGTAAGGGGTTAGTATTTTGCAGACATCCAGTCCTATTTATGGTGATCTGGGTAAGGCAGGCAGTTCGTCAGAAAACAATGTTGTTTGTTATTGACGGGTACGTAGGTTGGTTTTTGTTGCCAATCTGCCTAAAAATTGCTTTCGCGGCGAAGACCAGTATTATGCGTATGTTCTTGTGGTAAGGTATCGGGTTGGGTAGCACGTAATGGGGGGTCAATTGGAAGGGTGTGTCGGTTGTCAGTATCGGTTGCGGGTATCCATTAGGTTCGTTACTTTGGTTTGTGGAATCGAATTGATATCCTTTATGTGGCGGTGAGAGCGCGGGGGCTCTAGTTATTTATTACGGAGGGTTAAGTAGAGCTCTCTATTTTATTTTATTTTATTTTATTTTAATGTTTGATTTTAAATTTTACAGTCTTTAAAATGTTTATACATTATTTTTATTTTTTTATAAATTTTATTATATATATATATATATTTATATATTTTTATTATTTATTATTTATTTTTATATATTTTTTTATTTTTATCTATCTATCTATATATATATATATAAAAATATATATATATATATATATTTAAACATAATACGTGGAACTTTTTTTGTATCATGAGCACGGTAGGAGCGGTTGCAAGAGCGTGCGGAGTAGCAATATATTCGTGGGGTCTTGTATTTAAGAGGGGAGTGCATGGAGTGTATCGTTTGTTGTTACGTACCATTGGTTTGTGGAATTTCTTACGGCATGTCAAGGTTGCGTGAGTGTGGGTTGTCATCATAGCAGAGTATAAAAAGGGCGTAGGTATTGGAAGCAAGGCATGCTGGGACAGGTTATTATTGCGGCATAGTGGGCGGGTTCTATAGATCTGGCGAAGGCTGCTGCGTAATCCAGACTTTCTGCGAGCAGGGTTGGTTCGACGTGAGCAACTTGGGTTGGTGACGTGGAGGGGAAAGACCGACGGCGGGGGGTGGGAAGGCTGTGGATTGTATAAGATATAGCAGTGGGTGGTGAGTTTGTGGTTTGGGTGAGCTTTCGTTTACGGGGTTTGGAGAGATCAAAAGGCGTGTGACCATAGGCAAAATATCCGGAGACCGGTTGGGGGAGGGCATGCATTTGGCTAGAGGTGGATGATTGGATGCAATCGTGAGTATCCTTGAGAGGGGGTGCAAGGGTGCAGGGGCGGAGAGGGGGAGCAACAAAGAGGTTGTGTTTAGAAGTAGAAGCAAGGGGAGGAGAGGGTCGGTATTTTTTACGAATTATGGCAGCGACGGTGGTCTATCGCGGACAGGTGGCGGGTTGTACGATTGTGGTGTACGAGATGTCAGAGCATCGTGATTATCGTCCGGATCGTGATTTTGGCTTTGTGGCGGCCGTCAATCGTCATGGCTATCGCCAGTATGAGGTGGATGCTATAGGGAGTTGGTGTTGCGTTTAGAGCTGGGTTTAGGCTATGTTGGTGACGATTTACGGGATGCAACAGTTTTTGTGACGAAGTTACATGACGATGTGCCGAACAATTATCGTGGTAGGGGGGAAGACATTATCGAGCGAATAGTTCGTTTACTTTTGTCAGTCATAGCTGCGGAGCATGACGGTTGAATGACGGGGATAGCAGAATGGGAAGCGATACTGGATGCGCCTTTGGTCGGACGTCCCTATCTCCATGGGGAATTACGCGTGGACATGTGGTTGGTCAGGATTAACAGGGCAACGTTTAGTTGTGTGTGAAATTAGCAGGCCAATCATTTTTTTCAAGATTGCATTTGGCTGGATGTGTGGTTTCATTTTCCTGCCTGTAAAGAATACATGTGGTATTTTGCAAAGATGAAGGTCATCTATGTTTATTGGAAGCCGAACATGCAAATCTTTTGTTTATGGTTTTGTTTTTTCAGAAACTGTGTTCGTATTTGTTTTATTTTATCTATAAGAAATAATATTTCCCATACCCTATATTTTTATATTTTATATTTTATTTTTTATTTTTTAATTATTTTTTATTTTTATAATTTGCGTTTTAATAAATTATATATATACGCAGGGTTACTTGACCCAACGTTCGGGGGCCCCCGGGCTGGCCCCCGAACGTTCGGACGTTTGGGGTCCCGTTTGGGGGCCGAACACCTCCAGGTTCGGCCCCCGCCAAAAACTATTTTGGGGTCTAAAAATAAGTTTTTTTTTCTGAAATGTTTTTTGTGGGTTCTCTATGATGTAACCTACATGCCTAACTATTTTGAAGCCATTCTGCTAAGCCAAAAAAACATTAAAAATTGTCAAAGATGGGGGTGTCAAAACGTGCTCGCCCACTCACTATTTTGTTTTTTTTTACTTTTAACTTTTTGTTTTTACTTTATTTCGGGACCTAAAAAAAATTATTATTTTTTGAAAATTTTTTAACGAGTTATTGATTATGCAAACTACATATCTCTAAATTTTCAGGGCATTTGTCAATGCAAACTACATATCTGTAAATTTTCAGGGCAGAGATGGCGGTGTGGAAAAGGTGCTAGCACATTCATTGATTTTAATTCTCTTTTTATTTTTTCTTATTTTTATCATAGTGTTTATTTTCTGTATTGGATTTTTAATTCAAATTTGGTAAAGAATTTGGATGTTGTGCCCAGGCAAATGTTGTTTAGTTTATGTTTCGCCATAACATAGTTTTGTTTCGGAAGTTTTTGAAAATGTTTTTTTTTTTTTTTTTTTTTTTTTTGGTCCGCGTTCGTCCGAAACGGCCGAACGCCTCCCCAAGGGGTCCCGTACGTTCGGGCGTTCGGGTTCGGGCGTTCGGCCCGTCCCGAATGCCGGTAACCCTATATATACGTATTATTTTATGACAGCTAAGAAGGATTGTATTGTGTATTTTTTTGATTCAAGCGATAATGTTTTTTAAACCACCAGTACCTTCCCGAGTGTTGGGAAATTACGTGATACAGGCCAGTACCCGAACTTTTCGGGGGTCGGACAGAGGGTCGACAATGTCCCAAAAGTCGTTTTTTTTTTTTTGCCCATGCACGAAAGGGAAAGGAAAAAAAAACGGGCCTTTGTACTGCAATGATGTCGAGCAGGGATGTCTAGGAGACCGTGCTCACACAGCCTCACAGTCTTGCATGCATCTTACAGCAAAGACGGTCACATTCTCAAACTTGTTGTTTTATTTTTTTCTTTTGTATTTGTTTGTTATGAGTACCCTGCCAACGAGGCAGGGCGGAATCCGTGATCTGCTCTAGTGTTGTTTCCTCAGATGATTGTAATACTGATGTATCCAGCCGTTTTCAAGGTCGAATCCATGTTTTCGTTTTTTTCTTCTTGTTTTCATTTTCTGGACTCTGACAATCTGAATTCATGGTATGCTCGAGCTGTGTTCCCTCAGAGGATTGTAACCCTGATCACACAGGCACTTACAGGACTGTATGTTGCCATTTTCACGGGCGAATCCATGTTTGTCCGTTTTTTTTTTTTTTTTTGAGTTTCTGAAATCTGACAACCTGGCCACGGGGCTGAGATGCCCTCACTGAGGGCACACTCACACTTACACTTCCGAGAATGAATAAAGTTGCAATCACGCTCAGAGCTTTGTTTCTTTTTCTTGTTTTCTGAGTTTTCACGGCCACAACTTTTATTATTTTATTTTTTTTTGTTCTTGCCGTGAGAGTACCATAAAGAAATGGAGTGGGACCCAGGCTCGGCAAAACTCGGAGCGCAGTGAAAATCAGGGTCGGCAAAAACAAGCTCGGAGGTACTGGTGGTTTAAGGAAAATTGTGCACCACGGATAATTAGGCTGTATGTTTGTGTACGTGATCCTGGGAAGCTATGTGTATTCATATGGCGTATTAGTTGCCTCCGTATAGCACATTGGTTTCAGACAAACATTTTTTAAAAAAAATGTGTGTATTATGACTATGAAAGAATATGTATCCATATTTACAAGAATTTAACGGGGATCATAGACGGATGTATAGTTGTGGAGTGTCATGGTCATGCCACTAATTGGTGACTACAAGACTTAATCTTTATTGCCAAAGCATGAGTAATAAAGAGTTGACGAACCACATATGAAGATTGTTGACAAGACATGACGTCTTTCTTTTTTTCATTTTTTATCTTTAAGAAAAAAATTGTACGATTTACAAAAAAACCGAAAAATCAAGGACGTAGAATGGACAGCTCAAAATCTAGGAACGTATCAGAAATTTATACACAAGAAAACGTACTCATAAATTGGCACGGAGCTCCGTAAAATAACATATGATTGTGATTACTACACTAGCCTCGGTTTTTCATTTGAGCAATATTGCATATATGGTGGGGACGTTATGAATTTAGCATTGGTTTGAAGCGGGATTGAAAGAGAGTTCACGTCTCGCATTATCTTTCAGTTTATAACTTAGTGAGGGATATTAGTGTAGTCCTGTTCTTACGGTCAGGTGTATCAGTCATTTGGGGTTGTGTTTGCTACGTTTGCATTTTTTTATCAAGCGATATGCCAATCGTGGTTATGTTTTTATATTTGTATGGTTGTTGTTCTTATGTGTGGAAAAGGTTGAGCAAAAAATTGGGGAGGAAACGCATAAAGCAGCAGGATGATGCCGTA